CATAGCAGCCATAGTGGTGTGTCAACCCTGGGCAGCTCTTACGGGCCACCCAGGCTCAATATGTCCCCAAGAAGCACTTAGCTGGATAGGAGCTGGGAGTTACTTCAGGATACCCACAGTAAGTCTCCTCTGTGTGGAAAAGAAAAAAGAAAGAAAACAAGGAGGAAAAAAAAAAAAAAAAACAAGATGGGGGTGGGGGAGGGAAATGGAGACCCCTTAATGGTGTGCACTGAAGGCAAGGGGTTATCCCAGCAGATAGCAAAGCTAGGGTTCCTGTATCAGTGTAGCTTGGCAGGCATAAGCAGCTATAGCAAATTCAAAATAATTAAGGCTCCTGCTCTACCTCTCACTAGTCACACTTTGAAAGGTGTGAAATGAGCACCTGGGCCTGGCCTCGTGGTTAAGGAGTATGATGTGCTTGCTGAGAGCACCATGTTTGCAGGCAAAGTGTTCTTTCCTAGTGGCTCTGGTGAGTCCTAGCTGGTGTCTCATGACTTTGTGGGACTTGCTATGCATCAGTTTCTGTAGCTACAGGGAAGCTTTTGGAGAACTTGCCACCCAAGTTTATGAATTGTTTCTTGTGCCCTTGTTGGGGGGAATTGAGTAATTGCTTAAAACTGCATAATTTTGAAGGCATGTTTCTGATGCATATTCCTGCATACCAGAGTTTTTGTAGGTTAACAAAAACTTGATGAAGTAGGAAAGTAGAACCTTTTTTGGGTTGAAGAAAAGTAAAACCTTTTTTTCTAATTTTTTTTTCATTTTTAAATAAACTATATATTGTTCCTTCAAATGTTACCTCTCTGTTTTATTTGTGTTAGTAAAATAAGAGTATGCCACTTATACAGATATTTGTGGGGTTTTTTTGTGTGTTTTTTGGGCACTTATTCCAGGAAGATTTTATAGTAGTGTGCAAAAATCTCCAGTGAAGCAGGGCTCCCAGAAAACAACTGCGTAAAAGAAAGGTGTCCGTAAAGTGTACTTTTTTTTTTTTTGTCTCTAGAGATTTCAATATTGCTTCAGGGAATATGGGAAATGCTGCAAGATTTGATCTTCAGGGGTTTACTCATCGCTTTAGGTTCCTTGCTGATCCAGTGTTTCTGCTGTCCTGTTCTTTTTGCCCAGGTACCTCATCCTGCACGTGTACAACCAACGCAGCTCTTTAACAGAGTGTATGTGGTGAGTAATTTTGATTATGTAATTCTTCAAGGGAGTTGACAAAATAACAGTGAATATTTTGTTGAACGTGAGATAGTTACAAGTACTTATAATGCAGGCAATGTATTTAAAACGCATACTTTTTGCTCTTTGTAGAATGGTGGTATTTCAACCACTGCAGTTGTATGTCTTCCCTCTATGATAATGTTGACTTTCGTATAGTCTAAGAATGTTTAATCTTCTTGATGCTTTGATATAATTCTATAGCTTATCATAATTGGGTTCAATTTTTAGGTTTCCTTTTGGCTAGTGTGAACTTGTGTGTGTTTGGATTTATAAACATAGAGGTATTTTGTTTCCTATTATGATCTCATATACTTTCTGACTTCCTGAAGTTGCATATGACTTTAATTTTTTTCTTAAAACTTGTGTGTAAGACCAAGCCCGTGAATCATGATCCTTCAGATGGGAATTTGGAAAGCAAACACGTCCGAGATGGGAGGAAAAAATAGAGGAGAAAAAACAAAGTCGAACACCTTTGAAACATCTCTGAACTTGCTAAAGTATAATTAAAATTGGCAAGAATTCAAAAGCTCTATATTTATTTGACTTGGTTTTGAATTTTTGTTTCTCTGCTCAACTTTGAGGTAGTCATGTTGAACAGGTCACATGAAGGGGTAGTCAAAACCAAAATGGCTAATAACATTTGAATCTTTCACTGTAGTACAATATTAGAACACTGTTGCAATATTGATAAACCTTTTGGAGAAGGACCAGTATGATTTGGAGAAGTCTAGGTGAATTATAGATATTTGCATCAGTGCCAATTTTTCTCATAGCCTTGCTGACTGTCCAGGACATGTGTCTGGGTGATGCCTGCTTGATGAGAACTGCACCTAGAACTTTGTGTACTCCTTTGTGATGGTGAGGCATAACCTGCTACCTCCTCCATATGTGTTGCCAAGACCCCTGCTACCACATGTGTTGGAGCTCCTCTGTGGTCCACTCCACTGCTTTGCTGGGAAAAGCAGTGTCAGGTATGGGGGAGTGTGGCCTTGCCCCAGTGCTGCGAAGGGCCTGGAACAGAGAAGTTCTGCAATTACTGCCACTCCCTTTGGAACCAATAAAGGGCAGGAACTGGGGCGGGTGCGGAGGGGAGTTGAGCAGCACGGGCTGACTACAGAATGCACATCACTGTCCTGCTTTTGCAGCAGTGTTCACACATAATTGTTTCACTGTTCTGTTTCTCTGTTGTTTATTATGTGGAGTGCTGATACTATTGTAATGTTGTTATGCCAGCAGAGAGCAGAGGGAATTCTAATATAGGGTTAACTTCAGCCTCTTGATCCTGTCTACAGCAAGTCATGTTTAACATGATTTTTATGGAAATAGATTAATTCTGTTTCTGCCTTGCTTCATGTGGACAGTTTCAGAAGCACTCTATCAGTGCTTCTGGTCCCTTGGCTAATTACCATTCTAGAACTCTCCGTGCATTCATCAAGAGCGATTTGTTTCTGTTTTGCAGTAGTGGAGACGTTGCTGTCACAAAGACAACATTGTGTTAGAACTTGCCTTATATAACAATGAACAGTATTCAGGGAGAGCAGAACCTTCCTTCCTTAGAAAATAACTATGAAAAAACAAGTTAGGAACCCCCAAAGAGAATGCTCTGTTAGGCTCTGCTTTACGGACTGTTTTCATTTATTCCGTCTCTGAAATCAGTGGGAAGTTGTCTGTTACCTCCCAGCTGTTGCCCTATAACTGTTTATTTCAACTAGATCCAACTACTAGAATATACTTGAGAAAAAAAAATTAATGAAGAGAGCTGTCTGATTTTTTCTCTTTCTCAGTGCTGCAGTGCTGTTATAGGTTATGCTGATGATGCTGAGAGGCTCTGCATTTTAGTTCAGGCCATGTTCTTGATCCTGCAAATATCTGTGAATGTTTATGCATGTGAGTAGTTTTTTCAAAATCCACTTTTTTATAACACACTACAAAAAGGTGGAAAAACAGACACTTAGATCAATATTTTGAATGACAGTGTTCCCTAGACTGCCAAAGATTGCGGCTTTGTAAGGATACCTGTAATTTCAAGACCAGAGTCATTCAGTTGGAAATTTTAATATAATAGTTCGCACTATGTTCCAAAAAAGTTGATAAAGCTTTAGTACACTGTTTATGAAGAAGAGTAGGTCAACTACAGCTGACATGGTTTGTAATTCCATAACTGAAATTTTTCATAGTCAATTTAATAATTCTCCCGAGAGAAGCCTGAGATCTCATCTTTCCTGATCAAGATTTACTCCACGAGAAAGGTGGTCATACTGTGACTTTGCCTTCCGTGAATCATAGTATTTGTATTCATTCACTGTATAATCTATGCAGCAACAATATTAAGACATAAGATATTCATTTGTTGTGATGCAGGACTGTGAAAGCTTCAAGTACTGTGTCATCTTGTTTCTGAGAAAGACTGATATGCATTTTCACAGATTTCCTTTCATGAAAATTTTGTTAACTGAACAGGAAGTGGAGAATCATTTCCTGGTGACTCCATGCGTCTGATCCACTATGTCTCAATAGAAAGTGTAGCCTGCCTTGTCTTTAAAAGAACTTTATGGCCAGAGTTGTGTACCAATTTCCTTTGGTTTTATGAACAGCCTTCATTCATTCTTTAAATTTTTTTTTTTTTAAAATACACATGGGTAGTGCTAGTAACTGTTGTAGTGCATTTTCAATCCTTTATAGCCCCTTTAGTGGGAAAGTTTTGGTTTTTGTCATTGCTTAGTGGAGTTAACGTGAAATATTTCAGAGGAGAATTTTAAAAAGTCTTGCTTTTGCATAAAATTAACACTTATTTAACAATGCCTTTTGTATCTGTATGCCTAGAAAGCAGTTCATATTCTACACAGAGAGAACAAAAATAATATATCTGGTTAGTGTCAAGCGTTTGTACCAGGCTAGTAAAATTCAAAAAAGTGTAATTTTATACAAAGGCAAGACCTTTTTATTAAAATTTCTTACAAGAGCAGAGGAAATACTTTTTGTTTTTTTACTTAAGCATACCTACACTAAACAAATGGTATTCACTGGAAAAAAAAAAGGTGTGTGTTGGTGGGTGTTTTTTTTTTTTTTTTTCCCAATCTTCAGTTTAGGTCCTCGAGGTTCTTATGGACCCATGAAACTCTTGAAGAACGGCTTTTAGGAAGGTACTGTTACTTTTGTTCAGACTGTTTGAACACTTTTAAACAGGGCATTGGTCAAGCTGCTTGCATTTAGCTGAATTGGAATAATGTCTGAGGAGACCCTTGCAATGGTAATGAAATACAGCTAGTGGTACTACAAGGGTATAGCTCCATCTAGTGCTCAGCTCTTAAATCAGGCATGAATGCAATTTTTTTTTTTTTTTGGCTCCTTGGAGCCAAAACAGCAATGCTAGATGCATATAGCATTTTATAGTTTTGGAG